GAGACAGCATCTCACCATGTTGGCCAGGCTGGTCTCAAACTCCTGACCTCAGGTGATCCACCTGCCTCAGCCTCCCAAAGTCCTGGGATTACAGGCGTGAGCCACTGCGCCCGGCCTCAGTAAATGTTTGTTGGATGATTGACGGTTGAACTCAGAAAAAGGGTACCAGGGAGGGCCATGACAGCCACAGACCTGCGAGTCTTCCTTTTATGCTGGGCACGAAGGAGAATAGGACATGGTTTCTCTATGAGACATCACAGCAAAGAACCTACCAGGGAACTGCAAATTGATCAGGGACACGTAATTTAAAAAATTTTGAGACAGAGTCTCGCTCTGTCACCCAGGCTGGAGTGCAGTGGTGTGATCTCGGCTTACTGCAAGTTCCACCTCCTGGGTTCATGCCATTCTCCTGCCTCAGCCTCCCGAGTAGCTGGGACTACAGGCACCCACCACCATGCCCAGCTAATTTTTATTTATTTTTTATTTTTTTTTAGCAGAGATGGGGTTTCACCGTGTTAGCCAGGATGGTCGTGATCTCCTGACCTTGTGATCCGCCCATCTCAGCCTCCCGAAGTGCTGGGATTACAGGCGTGAGCCACTGCGCCCAGCCAAGAGTATTTTTTCTTCACACATCCAGACTTATTTCTTAAAGTGTTTACTGTAAAAGTTTTCGCACACACACAAAAGTAGAGAGAATAGTGGAACAAATTGTTTTTCTTTGCTGCAGAAGATTTAAAAGCAAATACCCAATCACTACAGACATCAATATGCATCACTGGAAAACAACTGACAGCATTTTAAAAACATGATTATTGGTGGAACTAGGCAGGATGTTAACTTAGAGAATGTAAACAAAGGGCAGGGATGAATGAGTATTTTTCCACTTAGGTATGTTAGTGGTCAAGTTCCTCTGGACAATGTTATGTTTTTTTCCATGCCATGGTGGGGTGAACGCACAGGGACCTTGTAAGATTTCCTGGCATTAAGATGATCTAAGGGCCTGGCACGGTGGCTCATGCCTATAATCCCAGCACTTTAGGAGGCTGAAGGGGGTGGATCATAAGGTCAGGAGATTGAGACCATCCTGGCTAACATGGTGAAACTCCATCTCCACTAAAAATACAAAAAAATTAGCTGGGCATGGTGGCATGTGCCTGTAGTCCCAGCCACTTGGGAGGCCAAGGCAGAATAATTGCTTGAACCCGGGAGGTGGAGGTTGCAGTTAGCTGAGATTGCATCATTGCACTCCAGCCTGGGTGACAGAGCGAGACTCCGTCTCAAAAACAAACAAACAAACAAACAAAAGATGATCTAAGGAGGAGAATGCCCACTTGAGTGGGAGAAAACCCCCCGAGGCTAGGTGAGGGTGGACTCAATTAAATCCAGTAATATTTCCATGTCACTTGGAGTTCCTGGTTGCAAACCACAGAAATGGCTCTGAGTGCCGGGTGCGGTGGCTCACGCCTGTAATCCCAGCACTTTGGGAGGCTGAGGCGGGTGGATCATGAGCTCAGGAGATTGAGACCATCCTGGCTAACACGGTGAAACCCCGTCTCTACTAAAAAATACAAAAAAACTAGCGGGGCGAGGTGGCAGGCGTCTGTAGTCCCAAATACTCGGGAGGCTGAGGCAGGAGAATGGCGTGAACCCGGGAGGCGGAGCTTGTAGTGAGCCGAGATAGCGCCACTGCACTCCAGCCTGGGTGACTGAGCGAGACTCCGCCTCAAAAAAAAAAAAAAAAAAAAAAAAAAAAGAAATGGCTCTGAGTGATGGGCAAGACCAAAGGGGTCAAAATTTCACCTGGAGTGGCTGGTTAGCAAGAGTTCTCAATTCTTTTCTTCTCCTTCTCCTCCTCCTCCTTCTTCATACCTTCACTTGCCTTTATTATTTTTTCTTCTTTTTTTTTTTTTTGAGACGGAGTCTCGCTGCGTCGCCCAGGCTGGAGTGCAGTGGCCGGCTCTCAGCTCACTGCAAACTCCACCTCCAGGGTTTACGCCATTCTCCTGCCTCAGCCTCCCGAGTAGCTGGGACTACAGGCGCCTGCCGCCACGCCCGGCTAATTTTTTTGTATTTTTTTGGTAGAGACGGGGTTTCACCGTGTTAGCCAGGATGGTCTCGATCTCCTGACCTCGTGATCCGCCCGTCTTGGCCTCCCAAAGTGCTGGGATTACAGGCTTGAGCCACCGCGCCCGGCCTTATTTTTTCTTCTTTTTAAAGGCTGAGCACAGTGGCTCCTGCCTGTAATTCCAATACTTTGGGAGGCCCAGGCGGGAGGATCACTTGAGCTCAGGAGTTTGAGACCAGCCTGGGCCACATGGCAAAACCACATCTCTATAAAAAATACAAAATTAGGGGGGGCGTCATGGTGTGCACCTGTAGTGCCAGCTACTTGGAAGGCTGAGGTGGGAGGATTGCTTGAGCCTGGGAGGTAGAGGGTGCAGTGAGCTGTGATCGTGCCACTGCACACAGCCTGGGTGACAGAGGGAGACCCTATCTCAAAAAAAGAAAGAAAGAAAGAAAGAAAGAAAGAAAGAAAGAAAGAAAGAAAGAAAGAAAGAAAGAAAGAAAAGAAAGAAAGAAAGAAAGAAAGAAAGAAAGAAAGAAAGAAAGAAAGAAAGAAACTGTCAGCATATTGCCAGTTTTTGAAAGTCATTGTGCTAGCTATGTAGTGTTATCATATTGTGGTTTCAATTTGCTTTTCCCTAATGATTATGATTGAGAGTTTTTAAGGTTACTCTGGCCTGGAATGTGGTTGAGTGATTTGTAGAACAGACTGGATTTTTTTAAATGCCAAATAAAGGAACTATTCATTCATTATCTTGAAATGATTAGAAAAACCATGAAACCTGCCAAGGATTTTGCCCAGGGCGGGGAAAACTCACCTCTGGAGAAAGGCTAGAGTTACCCTATGATTGGAGTTTGTTTGTTCAGGGAAATGGCGACACCCTTCGCACTCCTCTCTCCCTCCATACCCTCTCCACCCTGCCACACTTTTGCTCCCAGATGGCGCACCCCTCATTTTTCACCTGTAGAATTCCTCTTTAAGTGAATGTCACATCCTTTTGAAGCATCTAAGATACAGGCATGGTGGCTTACATCTGTAATCCCAGCACTTTGGGAGGCTGAGGTGGGAGGATCCCTTGAGACCAGGAGTTCAGGATTAGCTTGAGCAATGTAGCAAGATCCTGTCTATACAAAAAATGAAAAAAAATTAGCTGGGCATGGTGGTGTGCACTCGTAGTCCTAACTACTCAGCAGGCTAAGGCAGGAGGATTGCCTGAGCCCCAGCATTTGAGGCTGCAATGAGCTATGTTTGCACCACTGCACTCCAGCCCGGGCAACAGAGTGAAACCTCATCTCTAAAATGAATGCATGAATTAATGAATAAATAAATAATAGGGCTGGGCGTGGTGGCTCATACCTGTAATCCCAGCATTTTGGGAGGCCGAGGCAGGCGGATCATTTGAGGTCAGGAGTTCAAGACTAGCCTGGACAACATGGTGAAAACCTGTCTCTACTAAAAATACAAAAAAACTAGCTGGAGGTGGTGGCGGGCACCTGTAGTCCCAGCTACTCAGGAGGCTGAGGCAAGAGAATTGCTTGAACCCAAGAGGTGTAGGCTGCAGTGAGCTGAGATTGTGACACTGCACTCCAGCCTGGGTGGGCGACAGAGCGAAACTCCATCTCAAAAAATAATAAATAAATAAATAAAAATAAAAAAGCATCCAAGATTTCCAGAAGCTTCCAGACATAGCTTGCAAAATTATGTTGTGGAAAAAGTGCAGCCTCATTTGGATGAGCTCCTTATCACCTGTGTGACTTTGGGCAAGTAACTGCTTTAAGCCTCACTTTCCCCAAGTGTAAAATGGGGATACAATAATACCTCAGAAGTAGCTATTAGAGATATCGTCATTGTCATCTTGTTCTGATTTTTTTTTTTTTCCCCTGAGATGGAGTCTTGCTCTGTCGCCCAGGCTGGAGTGCAGTGGTGCGATCTCGGCTCACTGCAACCTCTGCCTCCCAGGTTTAAGCAATTCTCCTACTTCAGCCTCCTGAGTAGCTGGGACTACAGGCGAGCCCCACTACGCCCAGCTAAGTTTTGTATTTTTAGTAGAGATGGGGTTTCACCACGTTGGCCAGGCTGGTGTCGAACTCCTGACCTCGTGATCCCCCTTCCTCGGCCTCCCAAAATGCTGGGATTACAGGCGTTAGCCACAGCATCCGGCCTTGTTTTGATGATGAATCTGCCTCTATTACAGGCTTACTTGGCTGGGCCCTGGCCGCTTCTTTCCTTGTCCCTCTCCCTAGCTGCTCACTCATAAAGAGCAGGCTGTATGATTTATGTCCGCTGCACCCCGTCCCTGACACAGAGTTGACAAATACCAGACCCTCAGCACATTTGTTGAAATGGATGAATCTCAAAGGATTCTCTGGGAATCTGGTGGCTAGAGGAGTCGGGACCACGAGGGACTCCCGCTCTCATCAAGGCGAGGAGCTGCCTTCTCGGAGGAGGGAAACTGAGTCAGCGCCTCCCTCCCTCATAACCGAGGGCCTGCGGGACTGTCTGAACACGTGGGTTTGACAGGTCATAAAAAGGGGGAACCAGGAGAGTGGATGCTCAGAAAACATTAATGGGCAAGACAGACTGAGAAGGAGGAAAGTGGGGTGGAGAGGGCCAGCTGAGACGTGGGCCCGGGGCCGGAGCAGGGATGAAGGGTGAGGACCTTGGCGGGTGACGAGCTGCGAGGGGGGTTTTGGGCCCTGGGGACTGCGTGGCAGCGAAGGAGATGGAAGCGGAGGCGGGTACAATGCTCCGACGCAGAAGGAAGAGCGCCGAGGCTCCGGGTGGGAGCTGAGAAGGCACCCAGCGTGCGGCGGCGCTGGGTTGGAACCACGGACTCCGCGGGTCTTCGGCGGCGGGCACGGCAGGTGCAGGAGGCGGACCCACGCGGGGGCGGGGCCTGTCGGGGCGGGGCAGCGAGGGGCGGGGCCGACGCGGGCCGTGGGCGGGGCGCGCCGCTAGTCTCCTGCGAGAGCCGCGGGGGCCGCGGACCTGGAGCCGGAGCTGAAGCGGGAGCCGGGCTGGAGTCGGGGCGGGGGCCGGGCCGGAGCGGGCTCCAGCGCCATGGGGTCGTCCGACTCCAAGCTGAACTTCCGGAAGGCGGTGATCCAGCTCACCACCAAGACGCAGGTGCGCCACGGGGGCCCCGGCCTCCCCATCCACCTGCCGGGCTGGGGGCTGGGCAGGGCCGGGGGTACGCGAACTTGGCTCGCCGGGAGATGGGGGACGGGCGGGCCCCGAGCGTGACGCCAAGGCCAGCGCCGGAACGGGACCCTGCGGCCTGTACCTCGAAGCTCCATTCCCTGGCGCTAGTCCCCCACCCTCAGTCTCCTCTCCTGGGAACACCCCTCTCCCCGAAGCCGCTGCTGCCACCTTAGGCTGACGTGTGCCTACTCCCCGAGCCGGCGACACAGCTGTCCGCCTCCTGTCCCGCCCCCCGGCGTCCCCAGCTTCGCGTCTCCAGCCTCCTGCCGCCCCCACCCACCCATCCACCGTCCGCTCCCCTCCCTGTCCCTCATTGCCCGCGGGTCCCGGACGCACAGTCCCGGTTGACTCAATACAAACAAAGCCTGGCTGGCGCCCGCCCCGGGTCAGAAAAACAGCTGGTGTGCGCGGCAGCGGCCTCGCTGGGCCCTGGTAGATGCCCGTGGGCAGGGAAGGCCCAGGTCTTCCTGGGAACACGCAAAGAGTGGCGGGCAGCGAGGCAGCGTGGCAAGGGGCCCTGTCCCCAGGCCTATTGAGCACAGCCTCCCAGCTGGGGACCTCTCCAGGGGCCTCCCCGCGAGGCCCTGCGAGGGAAAGGCTGTTAGCCTGTGTGCTCTGTTCTCTGGCTCAGGGGTGGGAACCCGCAGGATGGCCCTCAGGCAGCTGGTGAGGGGCCTAGGGACCCTCCAGCCTAGTCCGTGCTTTTAACTCTCTGGTGAGTCCACAAGTGGCCCAATGGCCACCTCCTTGTCCCCAACACACATCACCTGGCCCCAGCAAGACTTCTTGTCTGCCCACCCCTTCTCTCCTGGGTTTTTGAACCAGGCCACTCTGGCCACAGAGATGCTCAGCCCTGGCTCCCCATGTCCCCCATATTCAGGGGACTCAGGACCTGCTGCCATCTGGGACCTTCCTCTTTCCTGGTTCCCCACCTCCTGCTCTCCGGAGCTCTCTCTTGCTGCAGGCAGAGTGGGATGGAGGAAGCCAGCTCCCACGGCCAGCTGATCACAGCTCCAGGGGCCAGACCTTGCTCCCTCACCCGCTTCCCCACCCTGGAAGGGTCAAGTGCGTAGCAAATGCCCAGGGCCTTTGGAGAGTCCAACCTGGGCTGAACGACTCTTGATAGAAACCAGACCGCACTTCACTCCCCACAGCTCCTGGGTCGTTCTGGAGCTTGGCTTTTTTAGGATGGGGTTTTCGTTCTGTGGGTGGCAGGGAAGGTGGCAAGTGGGCTAGCCCCTCAGTGTAGGGCTGCAGGGAGAGGAGCGGGGAGGCAGGGAGGAAGGGAGGCTCCCATGTTTAACTGCCTGGAGAAGAAGCACCTTGCTGGAGGATTGCGCTTTGGGCTCGGCAGCTGGGGTGCCTTGCCAGGCCAGTGGGGCCAGCTCAGCAGGGTACCAAAGGCTCTGGAGTGGCCTAGATTCCTACCTGCTCAGGCCTTTTCCCCAAAATACTGTGCTTTTCCCCAAAATACTGTATCCCTCTTTCTTTCCCTGGCTACGGCCCTATGATGGGCCACTTGAGATGGTGCTGTTCTGTTTCCCAGCTGAGGACAGTGAGTGGCCTTGGAATAGAACCTGGTTAGGCTGGAGATCAGACCAGCCTTCCGGAGAGCACTAGGTCCTGTAGGCGGGCGGGGGCCTGGGATGCCGGGAGGGAGAGGCCCTCAGCGGCTGAAGCCTTGGACTCTGTGTAAGTGACCTGGCTTGGGTGGCTTGAGTGGCTTGGGTGTGAGGACCAGAACCCAGACGGTCATCACTGACCTTACCACTTGGAGTCCCCAAGGAGATTCAGGCCAGTTGTCCATAGGATGATATGTGGTTCCAGGCTCTTACAGGGTGTGGCTTGGGCAGCAGACAGGCCGACCTAGCACCTCTTCCCGTGGCCTGGGCCTGTGTCCCTGCTGCTCCACCTTCCTCGCCTTCCTGCCCTGCATCCTGTTTTCTTCCTGCCCCACCGTCCAGTCCTGGGTCAGGCCTGACCCTGGTCCTGAGAGCCAGCCGCTTTGGCTGTTTCCTGGTCCTTCCTCATAGTAGGTGGGGCTCTGGAGGGAGACATTCCCAGACTTGGAACCTTCTCCCAAATCCCGCGTGTTTGGAATTCTCTGCTGCAGGCCGGATGAACCTGGCGGGTGAATATTTACACGTGTATACATGTATGTGTGTGGAAATGCATGGTGACACAGTCCTCCAAGGCAGGCTTACCAGGCTCGAGTACTAGGGTACCTTCCCCCTGCACACTTGAGAGTCAAAAGATACAACTGCTCCCCAGGTCTGAGTGGGGGTCTGGTCTGAGCAGGGGCCTGGAAAAGCTGGGTTAAGAATATCTGATTTTGGGGGGCTGGGCTCGGTGGCTCACGCCTGTAATCCCAATACTTTGGAAGGCCGAGGCAGCGGATCACGAAGTCAGGAAATTGAGACCATCCTGGCTAACACGGTGAAACTCCATCTCCACTAAAAAAAATACAAAATATTAGCCAGACTTGGTGGCGGGCACCTGTAGTCCCAGCTACTCGGGAGGCTGAGGCAGGAGAATGGCGTGAACCCAGGAGGCGGAGCTTGTAGTGAGCTGAGATCGTGCCACTGTACTCCAGTCTGGCTGACAGAGCAAGACACTGTCTCAAAACAAAAACATCTAATTTTGGGCCAGGCACGGTGGCTCACGCCTGTAATCCCAGCACTTTGGGAGGCTGAGGTGGGCGGATCACCTGAGGTCAGGAGTTTGAGACCAGCCTGACCAACATGGAGAAACCCCACCTCTACTAAAAATATAAAAATTTGGCCGGGCGCGGTGGCTCAAGCCTGTAATCCCAGCACTTCGGGAGGCCGAGACGGGCGGATCACGAGGTCAGGAGATCGAGACCATCCTGGCTAACACGGTGAAACCCCGTCTCTACTAAAAAATACAAAAAAACTAGCCGGGTGAGGTGGCAGGCATCTGTAGTCCCAGCTACTCGGGAGGCTGAGGCAGGAGTATGGCGTAAACCCAGGAGGCGGAGCTTGCAGTGAGCCGAGATCCGGCCACTGCACTCCAGCCTGGGCAATAGAGCGAGACTCCGTCTCAAAAAAAAAAAAAAAAATCTGATTTTGGCCAGGCGTGGTGGCTCATGGCTGTAATCCTAGCACTTTAGGAGGTGGAGGCAGGAGGATTGCTTGAGCCCAGGAGTTTGAGACCAGCCTGGGCAACACAGCAAGACCCTATCTCTAAAAAATAAAATAAAATAAATTAGCTGGACTGGGTGGGGTGCACCTATCGTACCAGCAACTCAGAGGCTGAGGTGGGAGGATTGCTTGAGCCCAGGAGTTTGAGGTTACAGTGAGCTATGATTGCGCCACTGTACTCCAGTCTGGGCAACGGAGCAAGACCCTGACTCAAAAACAAACAAAAGAAAAAGAATAAGGGAAGAAGGATACCTGGTTTTCCACCAGAGTAGCTCAGTTTCTGTGACCCTAGAAGCAGGGGCCTGCCTACCTCCAGCAAAAACACTTCCTTCGAAGATCAGGTATTAGAAGCTTCCTTGGGCTGGGTGGAGGCCAACTGGGGTCATTAAGGTAGGCCCCGAGCCATGTATCTCGCATTAGAAGCCTAAGGGGCCTCCGTGACCCTGACTAATGCCTGTAGCATCAACTTGGCCTGGGCAGGTGATCACCAAATCTGAATGTCCAAGCCACAGTGGGACCAGGAGAGGAGGCCCAAGCTGAGGAAAGAGGGAGGCAAAGTTCTGTTCCTAAAGTTCAAGGCTGGGATCTGTCGTGGCTGGAATCTCTCCTCTGCTTCCAGAATGGGCTATTAAGTCTCTTTCTTCATTTTGGATTTAGTCCCCCAGTGATACTGCCTGATGAACTAGGTCAGAGGTCATGCCTGCTTGTGCTTAGTTGCTGCCCTTTGAAGGGGGTAGTAGCTGCCTGGGAGGTGGGAAAAGTGTCAGGGATGGCAGCTTCCCGGAGGCGCTCCCAGATGGCTCTGTGGGTTTCCTGGGATGTCCTTCCTTGCCCCACCATGGCATTGGGGTGCCATGTCCCTGCACTCCAGGGAGTGCCAGAGGGCTGTCCTGGCTGAGGGCCCAAGGGCCAACAAACCCCAGCCCCAGGGCCCTCCTTTAGCCTTTGTTCCTCTCCCCCAGTGAAGAACTGGCTCTACCAGTTCTGGGACTGAGAATCATGGCCACATGTTACCCTGCAGCTCCCTGGGGTGGGGTGGGGGTGTCTGCTCGGGGAGTGGGCTGGGGTATGCCTGGACCTTGGTGAGGCATGCGACCCCAACTCTGAGTTTGGAGAGGTCCACTGGTGCTCAGCCCTGCTCTGTGGTCAGGCTGAAGGGGTCCCCAGGACTGAGCGCAGCTTCGGTGGAACAGACATTGGCTGAACATCTGCCATATGCTTTACCGGCAAGGTCAGGGATTGACAGGGCTTCAAAGCACGTGCACCCAGACTGTGGAGGCAGGAACTACGCAGGGTGGGGGGAGGGGTGGGGCCGGAGGTTCCCAGGTGGGAGCAAGCAAGTCTGGGGCTCTGGGAGGCTTCTTAGAAGAAGTAGCTTCAGAGAACAGAATTATTATTATTAAATATTTAGAGACAGGGTCTCAGTCATGTACGCTGGAGTACAGTGGCATAATCACAGCTCACTGCAGCCTTGAACTCCTGGGCTCAAGCGATCTTCCTGCCTCAGCCTCCTGAGTGGGACTACAAGTGGGCTGGGACTACAAGTGCGTGCCACTACACGTGGCTAATTTTTTCTTTTTCTCTTTCTTCTTCTTCTTCTTCTTTTTTTTTTTTTTTTGTAGAGATAGGGTCTGTTACCCAGGCTGGTCTCCAACTTCTGGGCTCAAGTGATCCTCTCGCCTCAGCCTCCCAAAGCACTGGGATTACAGGTGTGAGCCACTCTGTCACCGAGGCTGGAGTGCCGTGGTACGATCCTGGTTCACTGCAGCTTCAACCTCCTTGGGCTTAGGCAGTCCTCCCACCTCAGCCTCCCAAGTAGCTGAGATGACAGGTGTGTGCCACCATGCCCAGCTGATGTTTTTTGATTTTTTTTTTTGTAGAGATGGTATTTTGCCATGTTGTTCAGGCTGGTCTCAAACTCCTGGGCTCAAGCAATCCATCTGCCTCAGCCTTCCAAAGTGTTGGGAGTACAGGTGTAAGCCACCGTGCCCAGTCATTATTATTATTACATTTTTTATTTTTTCGAGACGGAGTCTCACTCTGTCGCCCAGGCTGGAGTGCAGCGGTGCGATCTCAGCTCACTCCGCCTCCCGGGTTCAAGTGATTCTCCTGCCTCAGCCTCCCCCAGTAGCTGGGATTACAGGCATACGCCACCATGCCCAGCTAATTTTTGTATTTTTAGTAGAGAGGGGTTTTACCATATTGGCCAGGCTGGTCTCAAACTCCTGACCTTGTGATCCGCCCACCTCGGTCTCCAAAGTGCTGGGATTACAGGTGTGAGCCACCACGCCTGGCCTATTATTATTATTGTTATTACTATTATTATTTTTGAAATAGAGTCTCACTCTGTCGCCCAGGCTGGAGTGCAGTGGTGTGATCTTGGCTCATTGCAGTCTCCGCCTCCCGAGTTCAAGCGATTCTTCTGCCTCAGCCTCCTGAGTAGCTGGGACTACAGCATGTACCACCACACCCAGCTAATTTTTGTATTTTTAATAGAGACGGGGTTTCACCATATTGGCCAGGGTGATCTCAAACTCCTGACCTTGTGATCCGCCTGCCTTGGCCTCCCTAAGTGCTGGGATTACAGGCGTGAACCACTGCGCCTGGCCATTATTATTTTTTTTTAACAGAGTCTTGCTCTATTGCCCAGGCTTGAGGGCAGTGGTGCCATCACAGCTCCCTGTAGTCTTGACCTTTGGGGCTCATGGGATCCTCCCACCTCAGCCTCCTTAGAGGTTGGGCGGGCCCACCTGGTGAATTTGTTTTTATTTTTTGTAGAGACAGGGTCCCTACAATAACCATGTTGCCCAGGCTGGTCGTGAACTCCTGGGCTCAAGCAATTCTCCCACCTTGGCCTCCCAAAGTGCTGGGATTACAGACATGAGCCACCATGCCCGGCCCCAGAATTATTATTATTATTATTATTATTTATTTATTTTTTTTTTTTTTGAGGCGGAGTCTCGCTCTGTTGCCCAGGCTGGAGTGCTGTGGCCGGATCTCAGCTCACTGCAAGCTCCGCCTCCTGGGTTCCCGCCATTCTCCTGCCTCAGCCTCCCGAGTAGCTGGGACTACAGGCGCCCGCCACCTCGCCCGGCTAGTTTTTTTGTATTTTTTAGTAGAGACGGGGTTTCACCGTGTTAGCCAGGATGGTCTCGATCTCCTGACCTCGTGATCCGCCCGTCTCGGCCTCCCAAAGTGCTGGGATTACAGGCTTGAGCCACCGCGCCCGGCCCAGAATTATTTTTAAACAAGATATATATTGTTTTCTGATGATAAGAGTAACGTGTATGAAGTGCAGACGTGTGGTGGTAGCAGCGACCTCAGGTTTTATTGGCTGTAGGATTTCAGAGAAGGAAGAAAGCCGTGTTGGAGAAAGCAGGAAGGGGTCTTGCCGGAAGTGATACTTGGAAGGAGCCGTAAAAGGATGGGCCTGAGGAGGTTCACGTGCCTTGGACACTCTGGTCCCTGAACATTCAAGAGTAGAAAAATAGTAACGTGTTCTTACAGAAAAACATAAAGAAAAATATAAAACCATGCAAAGGGAGAGTTGCTATTAACATTCTGGTTCATTTTCTTCTTTTTTTGTTTTTTTTTGAGACAGAGTCTTGCTCTGTCACCCAGGCTGGAATGTAGTGGCATGATCTCAGCTCACTGCAAACTCCGCCTCCTGGGTTCAAGCAGTTCTCTGCCACAGCCTCTTGAGTAGCTGGGATTACAGACACCTGCCACCATGCCCGGCTAATTTTAGTATTTTTGGTAGAGAAGTTTCACCATCTTGGCCAGGCTGGTTTTGAACTCCTGACCTCGTGATCCACCTGCCCCAGCCTCCCAAAGTGCTGGGATTACAAGTGTGAGCCACTTCGCCCGGCCTATTCTAGTCTTTTATTCATGTATAATTTAAAATGAATTGTGACCATCCTAGAGGAGGTTTTATATCTTGTGTGTGTGTGTGTTTTTTTTGAGATGCGGTTTTGCTCTTCTTGCCCAGGGTGGAGTGCAGTGGCATGATCTTGGCTCACTGCAACGTCTGCCTCCTGAGTTCAAGTGATTCTCCTGCCTCAGCCTCCTGAGTAGCTGGGATTATAGGTGCCTGCCACCACGCCTGGCTAATTTTTTGTATTTTTAGTAGAGACAGGGTTTCACCATGTTGGCCAGGCTGATCTCAAACTCCTGACCTCAGGTGATCCACCCACCTCATTCTCCCAAAGTGCTGGGATTACAGGCGTGAGCCACTGTGCCTGGCCATCTTGTCTTTTTTTTTTTTTTTTTTCCCCACATAACAGTGTAATCATTTTCCATTTGTTAATATTCTTGGAAAACATGATTCTGATGGCTGCATAATATTCACTTGTATGGCTTTGCCTTCATTTTTTAAGCCTTCTCCAATTGTTGTTTATTTAGGTTGATTCCAACTTTGCACTGCTATCAACAATATACATGCTCCCGCGTGCACATCTCTAATGATTTCTTTTGGAGAGATTTCTAGAAGTGAAATTTATGATTCAAATTAGTTGCCTTCATTGCCTAGATGACTGCCTAGATGACTCGAAGGGCATATATATGTTTTTTTTTTTTTTTGAGACGAAGTTTTGCTGTGTCTCCCAGGCTGGAGTATAGTGGCACGATCTCGGTCCACTGCAACCTTCGCCTCCCAGGTTCCCACAATTCTCCTGCCTCATCCTCCTGAGTAGCAGAGATTATAGGTGCCTGCCACCACGCCCGGCTAATTTTTGTATTTTTAGTAGAGACAGGGTTTCACCATGTTGGCCAGGCTGGTCTCGAACTCCTGACCTCAGGGGGTCCACCTGCCTTGGCCTCCCAAAGTGCTGGGATTACAGACATGAGCCACTGTGCCCGGCTGGGCATGTGTGTTTTTAAGGCCTATTGCCTCTGTGGGAATGGATTTTGGAATATATTGTTGTGGGGAAAAGGGAAAGAGGAGAAGAGAGAACAGCTCAGGTGAAGGTAAAGAGAAGAGATGGCAGGGTGGAGTCCTGGGGTAGTAAATGCAGGTGTGTGTGTGTGTATAACATACACATGTGTATGCATGTGTGTCTGTGTGCATGTGGGTAAGGCATGTTTCTGTGAGATCTTGGTTGAGTGCTGGGCTGAGATTTGGACTTGTCCCAGCAGGCAGTGGGGAGCCCTTGAAGGGCTCTGGGTGAGGAAGCAGTGCCTGTGGCAGCGGTACATGCAGGATGCCACCTCGGTGCATGGGTGGGCAGCAACGTAGAGGCAGGATTGAAGGAGGTGGATGTGAAGGCGGGAGCCCTGGCGAGGGCAGCCTGAGCTGCAGCACTGGAGGTGGGCGCTGAGAGGAGCGAGTTGGGGTCCGAGAGCCGCAGAGGTGAATTCACCAGATGTGGCAGCTGTTTTGGGTGTGCTGCGAGAGGGTAGAGACTGGAGGCCTGTGGCGGGCAGCCTGGGTGACTGGGGACGGAGTACAAGTTGCCTTTGGTCTTCTTCCCATGGAGAGAGGGCACAGTCTTGACCTGGATCCCCGGGCATTTGACCTAATGGTGTGGCCTGGGGCTGTGCCGAGGTGCGAGGTCAGCCTGCCTTGTCAGGGGAGGATGGTGACTTAACCAGGGTCACACAGCCCCTCAGGGGTGGTGCTGGGCTTTGGCTGACTGTGCCTAGCTGACCCCGACCATGCACGCCCAGTGTCTGCAGCCTGACTGTGCTATCCAGGGGTTGTGGTGGCTGAAGGATGTCCCCCACCCATGTGGGAAGGCTCTGGGACCCCAGCTGGTAGGGGGACTCTGGCTTCCCTCTCGGGGTCTCTCCTGGTCACAGGTTGGGCAAACTGTGGGCCGTCTGGCCAGGAGTTGTATAACTCTGGACCCTTGGTCCCCCGACAGCCTGTGGAAGCCACCGATGATGCCTTTTGGGACCAGTTCTGGGCAGACACAGCCACCTCGGTGCAGGATGTGTTTGCACTGGTGCCAGCAGCAGAGATCCGGGCCGTGCGGGAAGAGTCACCCTCCAACTTGGCCACCCTGTGCTACAAGGTGAGGGCTGCCCAGTCCCTCGCTGCCACTCTTCCACCCTCCCAACCAACAGCAGGAGAAGGCAGGCATATCCAGGACCTCCCGACCCCCAGGTCCGGGCAGCCCTGTGGCTTCACCCAGCTCTCCCACTTCTCTCTCTGTGGGTCTCCTCGCTGGGCGGAGGGACCATGGCAGCCGCCATTTATGGGGGAATCCTCCGGGCCACATCTAAGTGAGCACCTTCTATAGATCGGTTCATTCAGCTCCCCCTGTGGGGTGGGTACTGCTAGTGTCGCCAGTTTACAGATAGGGAAACTGAGGCTGGGAGACTCACTTAGCAAGGCCTCAGCCATCCAGTGATGACCTGGGTCCTGGCTGTCCTGATGCTTCAAGCTGCTCTGGCCTGTGTCCCCGTCCCGCCAGGCTGGCTGACCCCGACTCCAGGTGGCTCCTCTGCCTGTGGCCCCACTGTCTCTCCTCTGCAGCCTGGATGCCCACCTGATCCCAAGTGCCAGGGTCCTCTCCCCACCTTCCAGCCTGCCCTCTGCTCCTGCCTGCCCCCACAGGCCGTTGAGAAGCTGGTACAGGGAGCTGAGAGTGGCTGCCACTCGGAGAAGGAGAAGCAGATTGTCCTGAACTGCAGCCGGCTGCTCACCCGCGTGCTGCCCTACATCTTTGAGGATCCTGACTGGAGGGGCTTCTTCTGGTCCACAGTGCCCGGGGCAGGGCGAGGAGGGGTCTGTGGGCCTGGCCAGGGCTGGGTGGGAGGCAGAGTTGGCGTCACAGGGAGAGCGCCCTTCAGGGCCGGCCATGCTCCTCCAAGCCTCTTCTGGGATTTGGGAAGTGTGGGGGTGGGGCCAGTGGGTGCTGCTGAGGGATGGTGTTCACGCCACCTCCTTGGGCCCTCAGTTCCCCTCCCATGGGGGTTTCTGTGTCCACAGTCCGGAAGAAGTAGGGTGTGGAGAGAAGCTGAGAGCCAGGGGTCACCGGGCAGAGGTGGGGGCAGAGGAACTGGGCCCTCTGAGGGCCGGAGAGGGACTGTACTGTCCTCTCTCCCCCACACCACCTGCCCTGGGTTTATCTCTGGGTGAGGTGCCGAGGGATGCAACACAGCGATTCCTAGCAGGGCTGAGACTCTTGATGTTGGGGGTCGCTGCCCAGTCCCCACCAGTTGGTAGGGGAGTTTCCCTTGCTGTTCCCGGCCAGGCTCCCTGCTCTGCCCCACTTCTGCCTTGGGAGGTTTGGGGCAACCAGGAGTCCACTTCCTGTCCTTTCATTCCTCTGCCCATGGGTGCCTGCCTGGGCTCAGCCCCTGTCCTCCACCACCCCGTAAGCCCTGGGCCACCTCTCCCTGGCCAGCTATCACTGAGGCAGCCTGTGGGTGCTGTGTCCCCAGCAGGGAGAAGAGGATGATGAGAATGCCAGGCCCCTGGCCGAGTCCCTGCTCCTGGCCATTGCTGACCTGCTCTTCTGCCCGGACTTCACAGTCCAGAGCCACCGGAGGAGCACTGTGGTGAGGGTCCCCCAGTCCCCCACCCCCAGGCAGAGCAGGCTCCGGTCCTGGGTTGGGGCCGGGCCAGTTGAAGTTCCCTTGGGCAGATTGCACTGGGGGCCAGGGGGCTCCAGGAGAGCTGAGCTGCCTGGCACGTGTAGGCCTGGGTGGTGACTGGTATAGCTGGAGGGAAGCCAGCTGGGGCTGGCCCTGCCTGCTGCATTCGGATGGCTGGGCACAGACACCCATTGTCTTTGCCTGCCCAGGGTGGGTGGGGTGCAGGGCTTGGACACAGGAGGCCCAGCCCTCTTGCTTCCTGTGGCGTTATGGACTTCACCTTGAGTTCTCTGCCTACCCCCAAACCTGCGGCACCCAATCCCCTGCCCCTCCCTCCCTCTCTCCCTGTCCCATGCTGGACTGAGCAAGTGAAAGAACCAGTGTGAGATGAAAGAAAAATGAGCTTTCAAGAGGCCTAAGAATATTCATTCCTGCCCATGTGCATGAGAACCGGGCCATTTTGAGGACCTGTCTTTAAGAGAATGGGGGGTCTCTGCCCCATGGGACTGTGCGAGGCTCTAGGTGGTAGGGTTCTGACCCAGGCTGCTGTTCACCTCTCGACCCCTAACCTGGCCTCTTCCTGGCCCTGTCCCGAGGACTCGGCGGAGGACGTCCACTCCCTGGACAGCTGTGAATACATCTGGGAGGCTGGTGTGGGCTTCGCTCACTCCCCCCAGCCTAACTACATCCATGATATGAACCGGTGAGCTTTGCCCAGGCCCAGAGCCCTCTTTGCAGCTGGGCCCCGGGCCTGGCCCCCACATAGCTCAGAGAGAGCCCATGGGCTCTCCCCAGAAGACCGTCCTCACCTGTGACCCGACCTTGGCCTTACAGGGGTCAGCAGGGGTCACTTCCTTCCATGGACCTGGACTGGGGCGCTAGGCTGGGTGGGCGGCACCTCCAAGAGGGAACTGGGATTCTAAGGTCCCCCCCTTCCCCCCTCCAAGGATGGAGCTGCTGAAACTGCTGCTGACATGCTTCTCCGAGGCCATGTACCTGCCCCCAGCTCCGGAAAGTGGCAGCACCAACCCATGGGTTCAGTTCTTTTGTTCCACGGAGAACAGGTGAGGTCCCGCCTTTCTGCCGCTCTCCTCCCTCTTATTCCAGGCAACCCAGAACTGAGTCCACTCGCCAGCCCCGGGTCTCGTTTGAGGGGAGGTGCTGCCCCCTGGTGGTAATAAACTTTAATTTACCAGCAACACCTTACACCAGCCCCTTCAGTCTCTCTTTGGAGTCCTGGACAGGACAGAATCTGGGGGCCCCTCAGTGATCCCTCCCTGGGTTCTCCATCAAGAGCCGCCTGTCCAGTAGAAATAGGATGTAAACCACGAGTGCAATTTTAAAATTAAAAAACGTTAAAAAGTAAAATTGGGCCAGGCGCGGTGGCTCACACCTGTAAGCCCAGAACTTTGGGAGTCCAAGGTGGGCAGATCACCTGAGGTCAGGAGTTTGAGACCAGCCTGGCCAACATGGTGAAACCCTGTCTCTACTAAAAATACAAAAATTAGCTGGGCTTGGTGGTGGGCGCCTGTAATCCCAGCTACTCAGGAGACTGAGGTACGAGAATCACTTGAACCGGGGAGGCAGAGGTTGCAGTGAGCCGAGATTGCGCTACTGCACTCCAGCCTGGGTGACAAAGTGAGACTCCGTTTCAAAAAATAAATAAATAAATAAAATTAATTAATAATATATTTCATATAACCCGATATACCCCAAACTTTAGCATTTAACATGGAATCAGTATATAACATTATTGAGCTGTTTTACATCCCCCCCTTTTTTTTTTTTTTTTTTTTGATATGGAGTCTCGCTCTGTCTCCCAGGCTGGAGTGCAGTGGTGCGATCTCGGCTCGCTGCAAGCTCCACCTCCCGGGTTCACGCCATTCTCCTGCCTCAGCCACCCCAGCAACTGGGACTATAGGCGCCCGCCACCATGCCCGGCTAATTTTTTTGTATTTTTAGTAGAGACAGGGTTTCACCGTGTTAGCCATGATGGTCTCAATCTCCTGACCTCGTGATCCACCTGCCTCGACCTCCCAAAGTGCTGGGATTACAGGCATGAGCCACCGCGCCCGGCTGGCACATCCCCCTTTTCTTTTTTTTTTTCTTTTTTTTTTTTTTTTTGAGACGGAGTCTGGCTCTGTTGCCCAGGCTGGAGTGCAGTGGCCGGATCTCAGCTCACTGCAAGCCCCGCCTCCCGGGTTCACGCCATTCTCCTGCCTCAGCCTCCCGAGTAGCTGGGAGTACAGGCGCCCGCCACCTCGCCCGGCTAATTTTTTTTGTATTTTAGTAGAGACGGGGTTTCACCGTGTTAGCCAGGATGGTCTCGATCTCCTGAACTCGTGATTCGCCCGTCTCGGCCTCCCAAAGTGCTGGGATTACAGGCTTGAGCCACCGTGCCCGGCCCCCGCTTTTCATACTAAGTTTTCAGAATCCAGTGTGTATTCTGCACTTATAGCAGGTCTCAGTTCCAATCAGCCACATTCCAAGGGCTCGACAGCTCCTTGTGGCTTGAGGCTGCTGTGTGGGATCCTGCAGTTTAGAGACCGGGTTGGGGTGTATGTGTGACAAATACCCCGAAGGGCAGGGAGGCCCAGCCCACATGAGGCACTTATGGACTGTGGGGGACACGTGAGCATGGGGCGGGGGGGCTGTCACACGTGTCACATGGCAGGGTTGAGTATTTGAGCAGGTAGCTCCCATGGGGAGCTGTGTTGGCCGCATAGGGTCAGCAGGTGGCGGTCAACCTCCGCCTTTCAGACTCTGGTCCCTACATGACACGCCTTATTCAGGTTTCCTAGTCTTCTGCTCAACCTTCCACCCTACTCCAGAAGAGAAGGCAGCCAGGCAGTCCCCTCCACCAGCCATGGTCAGAGGCTGGCCAGAGCTTTTTTTCTCACCAGCCTTATCAGGCAAACTGCCACCCTTTGTCCCTCACTTAACCTCTCTGGGTCTCAGCTTCCTCATCTGTAAGACGAGCAGCTTGAACCCTGACATCTCTTGAGTTTGAGTGGAGTCATTCTGTGGCCTGGGAACTGGTTGGCTGAGCCTGGGCTCTGCTCCCCGAGGGGAAGCCCGCCTTCTCCATGGGCCTCCAATCCCATCTCTGAGGCCCTGAGGGAGGGTATCTGCCCCTTTAGACCCTAAGGGGTATGAATGTGTCCTACTCATGGTTCTGGGCTTCCCCCACCCACTCTTTCCAAGCCACTCCCTGGCCTGGCGCTAAAATGCTTGTTGAATGAGGCTGATCCTCCCATGTGACCAGAGGGGTGTGGCCAGGGGGCTGGGCCCCGGTGGAGCCTCTGCAGCCTTGTCCCCTCTCCTGCTGCAGACATGCCCTGCCCCTCTTCACCTCCCTTCTGAACACCGTGTGTGCCTATGACCCTGTGGGCTACGGGATCCCCTACAACCACCTGCTCTTCTCTGACTACCGGGAGCCCCTGGTGGAGGAGGCTGCCCAGGTGCTCATTGTCACCTTGGACCACGACAGCGCCAGCAGTGCCAGCCCCACTGTGGACGGCACCACCACTGGCACCGCCATGGATGATGCCGATGTAAGCATGGGAGCATGAAGGGCAGCTGCTGGGGCTGCGGGTGGGCGGGAGGACGCCTGCTTACCACAGGCTTCTCCTCTTGGCAGCCTCCAGGCCCCGAGAACCTGTTTGTGAACTACTTGTCCCGCATCCATCGTGAGGAGGCAAGTCCATTCCCCACAGTGGCTTTGCAGGGGGCGGGGGGATGCAAGTGAGACAGGGATATGGGGGATCCTGACCCCTCCATGAAGGAACCATGCTCTCTGTGGGCTGGGGCCACCCCAGATGAAATATTGGCAGGGCTGTGAGGGTTTCAAGGTGCAGGAAGGGCTGATGGCCTCACCTGGGTAGAAGTAACTGGGAAGGCTTCTAGGAGGAGGTGGCTGATGTCATTTCAGAGGTGGTGGGGAGAGAGGGGAATGACAGTGGACAAGGGCTTCAGGCCAGGCAGTCCCAGTTCACATGTCTTGTGATCGTGGTTGTGAGGTGCTTGAACTCCCAGAGTTCTAACTTCTGCAGCTAAAACACAGGACACTAGCTGCCTTCTCACCCCAGCTGGTGGCAGGTCTCAGTAAATGACACAACAGTGGAATGCCCCTCGAGTGTGATGGGGTGATGGGGGAGTATTTTGGGGAGGGGTAGAAGGATGAAATCTGTCAACCATGAGTCTAAGGTGGGCAGGGACGAGGTTGAGGGTGTGCATGTGTGGGAGCTCACTGGGAGCGGCAGCCTTGCTCAAGGGGTGCACAGCCCAAGGACAGAGAGTCTGCAGTCTGGTGGAGGGGCCAGAGCTGTCCACACCTATGAGGGACTCCGTTTCCTGAGGCATCGCTCCAGGACAGCTATGGATGATAGCATCAGGGCCCTCGGTCTCTGGAGGTGGGATCTGGCGCTGGGGGAAGGAGGAGGCATTTGTGGGGGGCCTAGGCTGGGAAGTTGGAGCTGTGGGGATCATGCTGGACAGGCCCGCTGCTCTGTCCTCACCCCCAGGACTTCCAGTTCATCCTCAAGGGTATAGCCCGGCTGCTGTCCAACCCCCTGCTCCAGACCTACCTGCCCAACTCCACCAAGAAGATCCAGTTCCACCAGGAGCTGCTAGTTCTCTTCTGGAAGCTCTGCGACTTCAACAAGGTGGGCCAGCCTCGAGGGGCCCTGCAGGAAGATGGCGAGCAGCTGCTCCAATAGCCCAGGGGCGGGGACAGTGTCAGACTGAGGGGGGTGGGGCAGAGCTGCCCCTCCCTCGAACTCAGCCCACTTGGTCCCTCCCCGCACCCCCAGAAATTCCTCTTCTTCGTACTGAAGAGCAGTGACGTCCTAGACATCCTTGTCCCCATCCTCTTCTTCCTCAACGATGCCCGGGCCGATCAATGTAAGACCAGGGTGGGGTGGGATGCTGGGGGCTTTCCTGGTGGCGAGGTGGAGGGCCCGCCATCTGCCCTGCCTCCCAGGAGCTCAGGCCTGGCACTCTAACCTCCCGGGAGGGAGGCCCCCAAAATGGTCCCTGTCTGGGCCCCTCCCTCCCCCTCCCACCCGAGTGACCCCTCCCACGTCACCTGCCGCAGCTCGGGTGGGCCTGATGCACATTGGTGTCTTCATCCTGCTGCTTCTGAGCGGGGAGCGGAACTTTGGGGTGCGGCTGAACAAGCCTTACTCAGTTCGCGTGCCCATGGACATCCCAGTCTTCACGGGGACCCACGCCGACCTGCTCATTGTGGTGAGGGGGCTCGTGTGGCTGGGCCCAGCTGGTGCAGGGGCGGCGTCCTCTTGGCTGAGTCTGGAGGCAGCGGGGAGCCCACAGTGCCCCTGTCCCTCCTGGCACAGGTGTTCCACAAAATCATCACCAGCGGGCACCAGCGGCTGCAGCCCCTCTTCGACTGCCTGCTCACCATCGTGGTCAACGGTAGGGACCCGGAGCTCGCACTCCCTGCACTCACCACCAGGTGGTGCCAGGCCACAGACCAAACTGCCACCCGCTCCGGGGTTCAAGCCCCTCCAGCCCACAGAAAGAAAGCAAACTTGTGTGCCGTTCATAGTAGCCACATTAGAAAAAAAGGGTGACAACAATTTAATAATATGTTTTATTTATTCCACTGTATCCCAAACACCATCATCTCAACATGTAGCCTATGTAAAAATTACTAATGAGATATTTAATATTCCCTTCTCACACTCAGTCTTGTTGCCCAGGCTAGAGTGCAGTGGCGTCATCTCAGCTCACTGCAACCTCCTCCTCCTGGGTTCAAGCTATTCTCATGCCTCAGCCTCCTGAGTAGGTGGGATTACAGGCGTGTGCCACCACACCTGGCTAAGTTTTGTGTCTTTAGTAGAGTCAGGGTTTTGCCATGTTGTCCAGGCTGGTCTCGAACTCCTGACCTCAGATGATTCGTCCACCTCAGCCTCCCAAAGTGCTGGGATTACAGGCATGAGCCACTGCATCTGGCCTTTTTTCTTTTTTAAATTTTAACCATTTCTTTGACATCTGAAGGAGTTTAGCCCTGTTTATTGGAGCCATTGGTAGTCCAATAACACTTTTACTTTATTTATTTATTTAATTTTATTTTTTTTATGTTTGAGACAGAGTCTTACTCTCTGTTGCCCAGGCTGGAGTGCAGTGGCACAATCTCCATTCACTGCAACCTCCCGGGTTCAAGTGATTCTCATGCCTCAGCCTCCCAAGTAGCATGTGCCACCACGCCTGGCTAAATTTTTTTTTTTTTTTTTAGTAGAGACAGGGTTTTGCCATGTTGGCCAGCCTGGTCTCGAAGTCCTGGCCTCAAGCAATCTGCCTGCCTTGGCCTCCCAAAGTTCTGGGGTTACAGGCGTGAACCACCACACCCGGCCATATTTCATTTTATTTCTAATTATAGTGATGGGATCTCACTGTTTCCCAGGCTCATCTTGAACTCTTGAGCTCAAATGATCCTCCTGCCTCAGCCTCCCAAAGTGCTGGGATTATATAGGCGTGAACCACTGTGTCTGGCCTCTTGTGTGTTTCATTTGTGCAGCATACGCATTAGGACTAGCTGTGTTTCAAGCACGAAGTGGCCATACATGGCTGATGTCCACTGTGTTGGGCAGTGCAGGTTTGGATAATTGGAGTCACACAATATGGGGATGTGGAAGCCCCACCCTTTCTGCCTTTGCCATCCGTGTCCAGTCCCCACCCTCACCCGGCAAGGACTGCACACAGCTGCTGGGGAGAGGAAGCACAAGGAGTCAGGCTCCCTGGGGTTCAGGACCTAGCAAGGCAGGTGGCCAAGGGCTGGGGCAAAATGCCTTCAATGTGAACATCTTTTGGAGAGGATGGTCGTGGCTAGGGCCGGCTGGCCTGTCTGTGGCCTGGTTTAGACTGCAGGGTGGGTAGTGTGGGGTGGTAGAGGCCTCTAGCTGGGCTGTGATCTCTGGGGCCAGGACTGTCCCTTTCCCTCCTGGTTCACCCTCTGGCTCCATCTCACAAATCTCAACTGAGGCAGTTCTGAGAACACATTTGTGAACAAGACAGCCCCGGTCCCTGCCCTGCGGAGCCCTCAGCCTAGGGAGGGAAAATGACACAAGATAAGGAAGCGTGCAGATAGATCAGCGTGGAATGTCTGGCTGGGTGTGCCCCCAGGGTGGGGCCCCAAAATACATCTCTAGTGACATGACAGCTTGACATTCTAGAAAGATTTAAAGTCCTGAGTTTGTATCCTTGCACGATCATTTCATTACTGGGGAACTTGGGCCAAGTTTACAATCTTCTTTGAGCCTCAGTTTACCTATCTGTAAAATGGGGATGATCTTGTCTGTGTCCTGCCTCCCTCATGGTATGGGGGGACTGGCATGGGTGGGATGCGTGTGGCTGTGTAAGCAGGACAAGCCGTCTTCATAGTCGAGGGGTGAGGGTGAGGCCTAACTGCCTCCCAGGACTCTGCACGCAGTATGGCCAGTGTGGACTCGGCCTCTTGGGCCTTGGACTTCCTGGCTCTGCAGGGGTCAGGGAGGGATTGGGAGTAGGAGCCTGTTGTTCCACCCGGGCCCAGGATGTGCAGGGATGGCTTGGTGGGGCGGGGGGCCCAGGAGTGAGCTGGCCCCTCCCCTACAGTGTCCCCCTACCTCAAGAGCCTGTCCATGGTGACTGCCAACAAGTTGCTGCACCTGCTGGAGGCCTTCTCCACCACCTGGTTCCTCTTCTCTGCCGCCCAGAACCACCACCTGGTCTTCTTCCTCCTGGAGGTCTTCAACAACATCATCCAGTACCAGTTCGACGGTGAGGCACCAGCCTGAGGCCCTGGTGATCAGGGTGGCCAGTGGGCCTCCTTCCTACATAAGGAGGGCACAGCCCAGGAGGTGGCCTCTGGGAGGTGCTGGACTGCTTGCCTTCTGCCCCCAGTTCATTCATTCAGTGTACATTTATTGGGCATCTATAGTGTACCTGGGTGCAGGGGATACAGTGGGGAACAAAGCTTTGCTTCTTGCCCTGTGGAGCTCACAGCTGGGGCTGGAGGCAGGGAGGGAGGCTTCAAACAGATGATTACCCTCTAATGGACATCTGAATTTTTTTTTTCCGATGGCATCTCACTCTGTCACCCAGGCTGGACTGCAGTGGCGTGATCTTGGTTCACTGCAATCTCCTTCTCCCAGGTTCATGCAATTCGCCTGCCTCAGCTTCCTAAGTAGCTGGGATTACAGGCGCCCCCCAATATACCTAGCTAACTTTTTGTACTTTTAGTAGAGACAAGCAATCTGCCTGCCTTGGCCTCCCAAAGCACCAGAGTTACAGGCATGAGCTGTTGGGCTGGGCTTTCCCCTTTGTGGGATTTCACCATGTCAGCCAGGCTGGTCTCAAACTCCCTACCTCAAATGATCCGCCTGCCTCGGCCTCCCAAAGTGCTGGGATAATAGGCGTGAGCTGCCACACCTGGCCTGAAGTGTGATAAAAGGGAAGTGCAGAGTAGTAAGACCCTGATGGGCATCTTAGCAGCCTGTCTGCCCAGTGTCGCAGACACCCGGCTGCCTGCTGTCACTTCAAGCCTTGCCAGTCGTTAGCCCTGTGACTGAGGCACGTCACCTGACCTCTCCGAGCCTCAGTGCCCTCATCTGTAAGTTGCTCATAACAATGGTTCTAAGAGTCCTGGTCTCAGAAGGTATTGGGAAGATTGAGCAAAATAACCCCCAGAAGGCACTTAGCACAGTGCCTGGCAACTTAAAAATGATCAATTTTTATTATTGCTATGTCCAAAGTCGGTCAAATTTGCAGTGATCTCTGAGGGAGAAATAGGGGTAAGGTGGGGCAGGAGACAGCACATGCAAAGGCCCTGGGGTGGGATGTGGAACTGAAAGTGAAGAGTATGGCATGAGGCAGGACCAGAGATGGGGACTGGGGCCTGAGAGCTGGGAGAAGTCAGTGGTGGGGGATGGACGGCAGGCACACGCCACGTTATCCTCCGTGACTCCTCCTGGCCACTGTGCTCGGGGAGAGGCAGAATACTTAACAGCTGGCCTGCTGTGGACGCTGCCATGCTGGGGCCTGTCCTCCTTGCCAGGTGTTAGCCCTTTAGTGCTGGGTTGTGGAGGGGGACTCAAAGGCACTGGGGCAGGGGTGTTGTGGGGTGCTCTGGTCTGACATGCTGGGATAGCCATAGTGGGCACACATAGCCAGTGCCAGCAGCCCTGCCCCAGCACTCTCTCTTGGGCTCCCTGTACCATCTCCAACCCCTTGGGCAGACACCCTCCTGTCCTCCAAACTCCCCCTTCCAGGAAGCCCACCCAGATTGGACGTGGGGAGCTGGAGGGGGCCTCCCTGAGGTGAGGCATGCTCCCTGCCCATAGGCAACTCCAACCTGGTCTACGCCATCATCCGCAAGCGCAGCGTCTTCCATCAGCTGGCCAACCTGCCCACGGACCCACCCACCATTCACAAGGCCCTGCAGCGGCGCCGGCGGACACCCGAGCCCTTGTCTCGCACCGGCTCCCAGGAGGGCACCTCCATGGAGGGCTCCCGCCCCGCCGCCCCTGCAGAGCCAGGCACCCTCAAGACCAGCCTGGTGGCTACTCCAGGTCTAGTGCTAGTGGAAGGGAGAGGAGCGTGGATACCGGTGTGGCTGGGGGAGGGACACGGTCTCAGGGTGTCACCCCCATCTCTGGCAAATAGCGTGGCTTGTGTATGGAATCCGAGGGGATGGGGCTGGCCAACAGGGATGGGGGGAGGGTACTGGGTGGGCTTAGCATGTGTAGCTTGGTGTTGGGGGCAGAGCCTCAGGACGAGTGTAGACTCTGGAGGGATGAGCACAGGAGAGGGTGTTGCAATGATCAGACACTGCCTCTAGAGCCAGCGGAGGTTCCAGAGGGAAGCAGGAGTAAAACAAACACAAATAAAAAGTAAAGTGGGTGGAGGAAGGGCTAGAAGGGGCACTGTGGAGGGGGGTCCTCACTCCCACCTGTGCCCTGCCCAGGCATTGACAAGCTGACGGAGAAGTCCCAGGTGTCAGAGGATGGCACCTTGCGGTCCCTGGAGCCTGAGCCCCAGCAGAGCTCAGAGGACGGCAGCCCGGCCAAGGGGGTGGGTGATGGGGACTCCTGGAGCCAGGCGTGGCTGGCCCTTCCCTTCTCCCCTGGCCTCTGCAGTGGGGGCTGGGCCGGGGCACTCTGGGGTCACCTGCAGCAGAGGGGCAGACACCCAGTGCCCAGGACATTAGGGCCAGCGATGCTGACTCCCTTGGGGGTGGGGGCCTTTCACAGATCCCTCCCTTGTTTACTGGTCCCGGTGAAGCCCTTGGCCTTCAGACTTCTCATTCCTCCGCCTTATCTGAGCTGGCCTTTACCCAGCCTGCCCTGTCAGCCGCTGGCCCTAAACCTGTCACTAGGTTGGGCTGGGCCTGGGGCCTGGGGCAAAGGCTGCTGGGCTGGGCCTTCCCCTTTGTGGGATTTCCAGCTGCCAGTGGAGAGGGCTCATTGCCCCCCACTCTACCCCTCACCCAACCCTGCCATCCCTCACCCCTGTTCTTTTCTGGGGGCCAGGAGCCCAGCCAGGCATGGAGGGAGCAGCGGCGACCATCCAGTTCATCAGCCAGTGGGCAGTGGAGCCCAACGCCGGAGTGGGTGAGGGACCCCATGCCAGGCGAGCAGGGGCTGGGGTTTGGGCAGATGGTACAGGGGCGGGAGCTGGGTTGGGGTTCCCTGGCCCAGGGAAGCTCAGTGAGGATGGCAATGAGTCCGAATCGAAGGACCCTGGCGTAGCAGCCTGGCTCCGGCTCGGTCCTTCCGGCTGGTGACATCCCACGTGTTCGGCCTCTCTGGCTCAGTTGCTTCCTTTGTCTCCACTGTTGCCAGAGTCCCCAGCAGGATTAAGTCCCAGGCGCCCTCAGTGCTCTCTTCCTTAATAAATCACTCTTTCCGACTTCCTTCCCTGAATCTCATCCCCACGCCCTGTGTCTCCTGAGATCACGCCAGTTGCACTGGAACAGGGATAACTGCCGTTCCTGCCTGACCACGCTGTTGTGAGGGCTAAAGGCGACAGTCTCCCGAAAGGCACGTGGCACAGCCATGGCTTAGTGCGGAGCCATGGTGCTTGCCATCAATAACAATGAACGGTTCCGGGGTCCTGCTTGGTGCCAGGCTCGTGCTGCAGGGAGCAGGGGTGCTTTCTGCCTTGGGGAGCCTGTGGTTCTGGGTCAGGGTCAGGCTTGCCCTGCAGCCTCCAGGGGTTGCTTTCTCAGCCCCAGGAACCCCATCCCTCCCCAGGTCCTCTCCTGGAAGTCAAAGCTGCCGCTGCAGACCATCATGAGGCTGCTGCAGGTGCTGGTTCCGCAGGTGGAGAAGATCTGCATCGACAAGTGAGTCGGGCGCCAGCAGGGCCAGGGGGTGTGGGCGGGGCCGGGGTGTGGGCGGGGCCAGGGGTGTGGACTCTGGGCGGGGCCAGCCTAGGCTTAGGTGGGTGTATGATGGGAAGCATGGGTCTTGGGAGTCCAGAGTGAGCCCTGTGCTCCTCTAGACCACGTGAGTGTGCTGGAGACACCCCTCTCCCTGCAGGGGCCTGACGGATGAGTCTGAGATCCTACGGTTCCTGCAGCATGGCACCCTGGTGGGGCTGCTGCCCGTGCCCCACCCCATCCTCATCCGCAAGTACCAGGCCAACTTGGGCACTGCCATGTGGTTCCGCACCTACATGTGGGGCGTCATCTATCTGAGGTGGGCCCCAGGGGGTGGGGTGGTGTCCGCCTGAGAGCCTGCCCAGCAGGCCTCAGCAGGGACCTCAGCTCTGGGCCCCACCACCCATGGTGGACTTCATGTCAAGACAGTCAACTAAGGCAGCCTTGCCTGGTTGAGGGTGGCACCTGCAGCCCAGGGTGGGACATCGCGATGGAAAGGGTTGGCTTGGCCATTCCTGCCACCCAGCTCCTCCTGGTGACTTGTCTGCAAGGTGCCCCAGCACCTGGGTAACCCCCCACTTCCTCCACAGGAATGTGGACCCCCCTGTCTGGTACGACACTGATGTGAAGCTGTTTGAGATACAGCGGGTGTGAGGATGAAGCCGACGAGGGACTCAGTCTAGGGGAAGGCAGGGCCCTGGTCCCTGAGGCTTCCCTGACCCACCATTCTGAGCTTTAAATTACCACGATCAGGGCCTGGGACAGGCAGAGTGGCCTAGTCCTGAGTGTCAGGCCCCAGAGACCCCTGTGGCCAGGACAATGTGGACCGACTCTGATCTCCCTCAACCCCTAGGCTGGACTCACAGGAGCCTCATCTCCGGGGCTAAGCCCCCACCAGAGACCACTGCCCCCAATAGTCAGACTCCCCCTTTAAGACCTGGCTCAGTGCTGTCCCCTCAGTGCCCACCCACTCCTGTCCTGCCCAGTGCCAGAGGCAGAAGCCATCAGGTCACTGTGCCCTAAGGGGTTTGACCAAGGAACCATGGGCTGTCCCTTGAGGTGCCTGGGCAGGGTGAGGGGGTTATTCCAGCCTCCTAACCCGAAGCCAGCTGTTCCAGGCTCCAGGGGAAATAGGTGTGGCCAGGCTGCTCCTCGAGGAGGCTGGGAGCTGGCTGACTGCAAAAGCCAGGCTGGGGCACCTCCCGTATACTTGGGCATGGTGTGGGGTGGTGAGGGTCTCCCGCTGTATTCTCCTGGTCCGTGGAAATAGCCTGGCTCCCTCTTACTCAGTAATGAGAGGTAGGGAAGGGAACCGGGGGGAGCCATTTAGTCCTCCCTGCCCTGCCCACTGCCTGGATGGGGCGATGTCACCCCCTCATCCTTCCCCCAGCTCTGGCCCCTGGGTCCCGCCCCCCAACCCCCTGTGTCAGAACAATCTTTGCTCTGTACAATCGGCCTCTTTACAATAAAACCTCCTGCTCCACATTCTGACTTTGCAGTTGAGGCAAGGGGCCAGGTGTGGCTCTTGTCTTCATTGGAGCTGGGGACTCTGCACCTCAGAGGGCCCCCAGTGCATGACTGGGAACCAGCATTTGTTATTTTCTTGGGTGGGAAAGCAGGATTAGACCCTGTCACCTAGGGTTTGGGGCCCCTGGGCTGTTGCCACCTAGAGAAAGAGCCCACAGGAGAGGCCATGGGGCCACCCCAGGCAGCTACTGAGACAGCACGGGCAGGGCTGTGCTTGCTAGTGATTCACTTCAGTGGCAGGGGGCGGCGGGGGGGGGGGCATGAGGAGGAGGGCAGAGCCTCATCTGCAGGGCCAGGGCTGCCCTCTCTGGCCTCGCCCCAGGCAGAGCCCGCTGTTTGCACTGGGCTCAGGGAGATGGATGGCTTGCCACACCTGCCCTTTCCCTTCCATTCCTGCCCCACCTGATGGCTCAGGAGATCAGCCAGGGGCCACAGCCTGCATGGAGAGCCAGCTGCAGAATGTCACTGGGGGTTCTGTCCTAGACAGAGGGTGTGCTGGGGAGGGGTGGGGGTGGAGAGACACGAGCCCCGACCTGTCTCTCCCACCTCCTCCCCTGGATCAGACCAAGGAAGAACTGGGTGACCCTCCTGGCCCAGGAGGACAGTCCCAGGAGCAGGACTATCCCAGCCCCACAGCCCTACCCAAAAGGACCATTCCTTCCCACCATGCCTGAAGGAGCAGTTCTGTTCCTGGGAACAAATGCCACAAGCCTGAATGCAAAAAATCGATCAAACAAATAGGGTTTATGCCGCAGGAGAGAGCTGTTGAACCCTGCCTGGCACCTAATGAATGAGCTCATTAGGAGATAGGTGTGTGGGGAAAGGAGCTGGCCTCCCAGCTCGGAGCTCTGAGCTCTGAGGATGTCCAGAGCCACACTAGGACCAGGTGCTCTTCTTGCAGTAGGGGGCAGACCCCTGAGGCCTGGCTGGAGAGGGGCGCCCCTCGCTAAGCTCCCCAGACTCGGTCATGTAGGTCTGACCCTCCCAGAGAGTAGCCGTAAGGGGGCCCCTGTCAGCCTCCTGGGGTGCACCGTTGGCTCGCTGATTGTGGTGGAAAGGCAGGGGGCAGGCATGTGCCCAGGCCTGGCCATGGGCATCAGAAGCTCAGTGTCCAGGCCCCTGCCCTTGGCCTCTGACTATAGGCCGTGCCCTCCCCTTCAGTGAGGCTCTGGGGAGCAGGAGGCTTTGGGAGCCTCAGGCTGGTCTCTGTACCTCAGAATGAGGCATCTGGGCTACCATCTTCCCTGCCTTGGCACTTCAAGGTTCTGCCGGGGGTGGGCAGCCTCAGGCCCCCAGGTAGACCTCCACCAGGCCTCCCACAGAGTGCATGCGGTAGAAGACCCCCAGAGGCAGGCCGAAGTTGACGATGGTGAACCATATCTGGTAGCCGTAGAAATCCTTTTCTAGCCCATTCTCAAACTCCGGGTGTATGCCAAATGCAGGCATCATCCACAGCTGGGGGAGAGGATGTGCTGAGTTAGGGAAGGGCTCTCCTGTGCCCTAAGGCACTCCGTTCAGGGGAGGCAGCCCTCAAACCTGCAGCCCCTTCAGTGCCACCCCCACCTCCCACTCAATCTTCCTCTACCCGTTGGGCTTTCAGCATGAGCTCTTCTTTCCCCAGATCTTTCTCACTCTACTGCAGAAGGCCTTAGCCATCCCCAGCCATCTCCATGAGCTTGCCTGTGGCCAGCCTGAACTTCGGATGGGTCAGGAGACCCCGGGCTGCCGCCATGTGTGGGGAGAAGCAGGAATTCCTAGCGTGCCACCTGCTCTGTCAAGCTGGGCACCCCCACCCTGTACCCTGAGCTCGGGCTTCACTCCTCGGCTAGCTACTTTTTATTTTTATTATTTATTTATTTATTTGAGATAAGGTCTCACTCTGTCACTCAGGCTGGAGTGCAGTGGCAGGATCACAGCTCAATGCAGCCTCAACCTCCCGGGCTCAAGTGATCCTCCCATCTCAGCCTCCCAAGTAGCTGGGACTGCAGGCATGCACTATCATGCCTGGCTAATTTTTATTTTTATTATTATTATTTTTTAAGAGACAGAGTCTCACTCTGTCACCCAGGCTGGAGTGCAGTGGCACAGTCTTGGCTCACTGCAACCTCTGCCTCCTGGGTTCGAGCGATTCTTGTGCCTCAGCCTCCCGAGTAGCTGGAATTACAGGTGTGCACCACCATGCCTGGCTAATTTTTGTATTTTTAGTAGAGATGAGGTTTTACCATGTTGCCTAGGCTGGTCTCCAACTCCTGGCCTCAAGTGACCCACCCACCTCAGCCTCCCAAAGTGCTGGGAGTCACCGTGAGCCACTGTGAGCCACTGTGTCCAGTGAGCCACCGTGTCCAGACTAATTTTAAAATTTTTTTGTAGAGGCAGGGTCTCCCTGTGTTGTCCAGGTTGGTCTTAAACTCCTGGGCTCAGGGGATCCTCCTGCCTCGGCCTCCCAAAGTGCTGGGATTACAGGTGTGAACCACTGTGCCCCGTCATTTCTGCTAGTTATAACCCCCTGCCCCCTCCTACCTTCCTGTCCAAATTCTACCCATTCCTCAAGGCTCAAATCAAACCTTCATGAAGCCTTCCTTGGCTATACAGACCCTCAGTTCCTTTGCTGAGCTCCTAATGCACTTTAGAGCCAATTTATCCTCTGCCTGGACCAGAGGTTTCATTTCTGGGGTATGTTTTCAGTGCATTGAGTGCTTGGGGTCAAACAACCCTGAGTTGTCCCAGCCCTGCTACTTACAGGCTGTGGGTACTTGGGCAGGTCCAATAACCTAAGCCTTAGTTTCCTCCTCTGTGAAAAGGGACAGCAATAGTGTCTGTTGCATGGAGTTACTGTGATGATTCAATGAGGTATGGAGATATTGCATAGAAAGGTGTACCTGGGATATCCACCAGAAACTGGGCAACCATTATCAACATCTTCCACTAGGAGTGTCTTAGAAAATCAGGTACTTCCTGATTTCTTCCTTTGACTGAATCCAGGGATGATGAATTCAGTGGTGTCTTCCTAACTAGATGGGAAGTAACTGGAAGGTAGAAGCCTTATATATTTGTTTGCGAAGAGCACTTAGCCAAGTGCTTGGCACATTCATTCATGCCAGGCACCTTGTAGGGAACTGGGGGGACACTCTTAAGCAGCATTAAGCTAGTTGGAAAAAGATGTGTCCTTGATCCATCCCTTCCTGAGTGAGGCTTTCTGGGTCTGCCTGGCACCTCTATCCCCCAGACCCCTTAGCCCAGTCACTTACTGTGATATTGCAGAGGATGAGGAAGAGTGAGATCTCCTTGAGGGCCCGCCGCTTCCAGTTGAGGTGGCTGTAGGAGTGGATGTAGGCCAGTGAGGCCCGCTGCAGGCCCTGGCCCAGCTCCAGCAGGGAGCCTCTGCGGGGAGGCTCAGCCTCCTGCTTTCTTGCCAGGCCCTCGGGAACTGCCTCCCAGAGTGGGCGCCGGTGCAGGCCCTCGATGATGAAGAGGTTCTGAGCGATGTGCTGCAAGATGAGCAGCAGCGAGTAGGCCAGGATGAGGCGGTTGAGCAGCTCATGCGGGTGCTTGGCCACAATGGCCACAATGGAGAAATAGGCGATGCCCATCTGGCCCAGTGCAGCACCCATCAGCAGCACCACATCCAGGCTGCGGGTAGGATTCTTGACCGTGTCCAGCTCTCGCTCCTCCAGCCCATGTATGGCTGTGCCTGCCAGGCATGCCAGGCTCATGGCGGGCAGCACAGCCACATAGAAGGCATAGTAGAGGGTGAAATACTGGTAAGCAATGGCAGAGCCACTGGCCTCGATTTGGAAGAGCACAAAGACGCACACGCCTGCCAACAGCACCAGCAGGCCCAGCAGCAGCCCGAAGATGGCCCCGTGCAGGTGGAAGGGCACAGTGCCAGGGTGGGCACCCATGTGGGATGCCACACTGCGGCCCACATTCTTCCACATGACAAACAGCACGGCACAGCAGATGAGGCAGTACTCAGTGCTGAAGGGGTACAGCATCAGGAAGCCCCTTCGGAAAGCTTCACACGCGGTGGCATTGAGGCACAGACAGGTGTTGGTCTCATTGCCTGGTGCGGGGGGGCAGGGTGGGAGGGGCAGACATTCAGGCAGGCCCTGCTCTGAGGAGACTGGCTACACAGATCCCTCCCATTCCCTGGAATACACCAGAGCTGAAAGAGACCCAGTCGCTCATTTTATGGATGTGAAAACTGAGGAGATCAGAAAAGAGATCAGAAATCCCACAGAATGGCCATTTTTTTTCAGAGGAATTGAAGACTTGAGATGCCAAGCTTATGTAAAGCATTAAAAACATGATGCCAGCCAGGCGCAGTGGCTCATGCCTCCAATCCCAGCCCTTTGAGAGACCAAGGCAGGAAGACTGCTTGAGCTCAGGAGTTCAAGATTGACTTGGGTAACATGGTGAGACCTCGTCTCTACTAAAAATAAAAAACATGGCCAGGGGTGCTGGCTCACGCCTGTAATCCCAACAGTTTGGGAGGCTGAGGCAGGTGGATCACCTGAGGTCAGGAGTTCAAGACCAGCCTGGGCAACATGGTGAAACCCGTCTCTACTAAAAATACAAAAATTAACTGGGCATGGTGGCACATGCCTATAATCCCAGCTACCTGGGAGGCTGAGGCGGAAGAATGGCTTGAGCCCGGAAAGCAGAGGTTGCAGTCAGCCAAGAATGTGCCATTGCACTCCAGCCTGGGCGACAGAGCGAAACTCCATCTCAAAAACAAACAAAAAACCAAAAACAAACAAACAAAAAAATTAGCCAGGTGGCACACGCCTGTAGTACCAGCTATGTGGGAGGCTGAGGTGGGAGGATCACTTGAGCCTGGGAGGTTGAGGCTGCAGTGAGCCGTGTTCCCATAACTGCATTCCAGTCTGGGTGACAGAGTGAGACCGTGTCTCAAATAAACCAAAAACCGAAACCCCCAAAACCCTCACGTGATGTGT